TTCCCATTGGATTTTGGCTTAGCACCTTTTTATGTTTCTTCAAAAATTCACTGTAATTTTCAGTGGAATAACACTGAATGTGCAGTAACTTTGAGGAATATAGCCACTTTCACAATTTTAATTCTTTTTTTATTTATTACTTTTTTATTTGTTATTTTTGTTTTACTGTACAGAGCGGTTACAATTATATGGGCAAGGTAATGAGTACATTTCTTATCAAGCATTGTTGCCTGCTCCTTTGTTTCCCCTTCCCATCCCATCTCGCCACCTCTCCCTCCTCCTTCCCCTGCCATGCCAAAATTATAAAGTTCATTTTTTGACATAAAGTCTTCTACATCTCATTGTTGCAATGGGTCCACCTGTATTCCTATTTAAACAATTTGTTTTTTCCCTTCCCCTCCACAAAATACACCGACATCAAATACAGTGAAAACAAGGGTTATACCGTGGGGGAGGGACATACAATGCAACAAAGAATTCATCTTATAAATATGTCAGAAACAATCGCAAGAAAGAAAAAAAATTGAATGCTTATCTTGGGATTCATTTTGTCTAACTTCAACTTATCTGACTATCTCTGCTTGTCTCAGACATATACTAGTAATTGCAAATAAGGGAAACCATGGGACCTATGTTTCTTTGGGCCTGGCTTACTTCACCTAATATAATTTTTTCCAAGTCTTTAATTTCCTAACAAATGGGCAATGTCATTCTTTCTGATGGAGGCATAGAATTCCATTGTGTATATATACCACATTTTCTTGATCGATTCATCTACTTAGGGCCATCTCGGTTGGTTCCTATCTTAGCTATGGTAAATAATGCTGCAATAAACATAGTTAATTCTTTCAGACTTTGAACGCAGAGTGTCTTTCCATTTTCTTATCCACTGTCTTGTATCATAGCTTTCCTCTCCATTGTAGAGGTATTTACAGATCTTTCTTAGGTTTATAGTCCTAGGTATTTGTTTTTGTGAAGCCACCATTTGAAGGGATATGTGAAATCAACATTGAGCTCATTGTTAATTTTATTTTAATAGATTAAAAAATAAAGTTTGGTCCTAATAGACAAAAGACAGTTTATGTTTCCAACTCTAAGTAGATTGTCTTAAAATTTATTTTTTCTATTACCTTAAGATTTTACTATTGTATATAGTTAAAATGGGTTTCATTATGTTAGTTTTATATGGCCAAATAATATCTTTTGTCTAATTATCTTTTATCCATTACATTTTATTTCCTGTGAAAATTTAAATTATCCTAATGGCCTTTATTACTTTATTCTTCTTCACTCATGTGATATTTCCAATGTTTGATAGTAGATATATAAACTGTTTTAAAGTAACAAAAATCTGATAAAAACATTTAGTATTTGCTTTTTATAACACACACACAAACACACTCATACAGACACATACATACAGATGTACACACACACACACACACACACAAAATCCATGGAAGATAGGAAAACCATGACTCAAGGGCCAAGTCCAGCCTGATTCCTATGAATAAAGTTTTATTGTCACAAAAATAAAAATATTTTACATGACTACATTTTCCTTTATCCTTCTTATCTCTGTTCTTCTATCTATTTGTGCATAATCTTTTTACTTATATGCATTTAATTTCTCCTTGGCTCCCATTAATCCAATCTTACTTCAACTTATACGTCCAAACATATGCACATTCTTTTCATTACTTCATTTAAGAGAAAAAGTATTGTGTAAGATCACTGAAAACCTAACTCAGAAAAAATTAGCAAGGACTACAAAATAATATGAAAAATCACTGAAACCACATATTTCCACATTGATTTCTCATTATACAATGAGGGTTCTGCATTTTATTCAATTATATAAAATCAAGTCTATTAATGAATAAACAAGGAACATAGTCAAAAATGCAATAGAATCTGATGAGCATTTTGATTATATCTTGATTAATATAATGAGGAAGTGGAAAATTAACATCATGCCACAACAAAAGAATAAGCACACAATATACTTTCCAAACATTGCTTTAGTGTCAACTAAAAATTAATTTATAGAAAGCTATGGTAAGTTACTTAGCCATGTATCTTTTAGAAATGCACATGTAAGAAGTTCAAAATCAGCCTGGGGAGGTAAATGTACAAGACTTTTATTTCCAGTAAAAGACCAAATACCAATGGAGACGTCATTCAAGTGGTAAAGAAACCTTGAGTGAAAACTAAAGGACAGGATAGGCCATGAGTATAAGTATGTATAAATGAATCAAATTATTATCACAAAAAATCATGTAAAGACGTCTTGAACAGAGAAGAAATGAATGCAGTTGTGTCTAAATCTTTTAAATATGTAATTCTGTAAACATAATATGGAGCCTACTAAATCAGCCTATATGAAACAGTAAGTAAAGCTTGCCATATAAAGAGGATTGAAATGGGACAACTAAAAATATTTCCCGTTGGAACAGGTGATGATATTACAAAAAATATATTTTTAAAATTCAAATTCTTGCTCTCAAATTAATGTACAGTGATTATTCAACCAAAAATAAAAAAAAAACCTAAGCAAGGAGGAGCTTACTACTATGTATGACAGACTTTAATCTTAAGAGAAAATTAAAAAAATCTCATACATTGTAACCTTAAATAAAAATGTATTTTTATAGCATATACAAGTTATTTCTAAGATATATGAGGGTAGCAGCGTGACAGGGAAGAGGATGACAAAGAAGAATATAGAGAGAGACAAAGAAAAAGAGAGACCAGGACTGAGAGTAAGGTCCTACAAAAGAGACTCAGGATAATTTTAAGAGGTGAACGTGTGTGTAGAAATATACAAGTATTGAACAATACATTTCCTAAGGACCACATTAAAAGATGTAAATTTGTGAAGAAGAGAATATTAATGAAATGGATTTGAGGAATCTCCAAAATGGTGGTGTGCAAACAGGAAGTTAATATACTGAAAAATTTAGAAGAGTTGTTGAAAAAGACAAGAGGGAAAAGACATTAAGAAGAGGGAATAATAGAATTGAGTGTAGATTGAAAAGGTGGAACCAAATATAGAAGCAAAATTCCAGATTAAATTGTGATCACCATCACTTGTGACTACCACTGTTAGGAAAATGCACAGTAGATCCTTAGTCTTTGAAGTATACATTTCATAATATAAACTATGATTGCAGAATTAGATCAGACCTTGTGAATACTAATCAAAACTATGTGCTTAATCTTAAGAATGCTTATTTCTACTATTATGTCTTTTATCACTGAAGCCATGCAGAGAATTTCTTTTTGGCATTAACAAGATGGTGTAACACTTTGGGACAAAAATGCAGCCTAAGAGTCCTGCACTAGAGGCAAAGATGGAGAAGACCTCCACAGCCACCATGATCTTCCCCTTGGCACTGTGATAGACAGGAAGGAAAGTGAGCCACACACTGCAGAACACCAACATGCTGAAGGTCAGGAACTTGGCTTCATTGAAGGTGTCAGGCAGGTTCCTGGCCAGAAAAGCCATAGTGAAGCTGGCCAGAGCCAGAGAACCCAGGTATCCCAGGACACAATAGAAGGCAGTGAGGGAGCCCTTGTTGCACAGGATGATGATGTGGCCAGGTTCAGAATGTGCATCTGTTTCCACAAAGGGAGGAGAGCTTCCCAGCCAGAATCCACAAAGTGTCAGTTGGATCAAAGTACAAATAGGGATGATGAAGTTAGGAGCCCCTGATACCAGCAGCCACCTCATTCTTCTCCCTGGGGAAGTGGCCTTGAAAGCTAGAATCACAGTCACTGTTTTGGCCAACACTGTGGAAACAGCCACAGTGAACACAACCCCAAATGTGATCTGCTGCAGGATGCAGGTGACTGTGTTGGGACGGCCAAGAAAGAGCAAAGAACAGAGGAAACAGAAGATGAGGGAGATGAGCAAGATGTAGCTGAGAGCCCTATTATTGGCCTTGACAATGGCAGTGTCATGGTGTCTCCAAAATATTCCAAGAATAATTGCAGTGAGCTTACAAAAGCATAGGCCCATGACAACCAGAGCCATGCCCAAGGGATCTCCAAAACCCAGGAAACTATCAGCTCTCAACAAACACTGAGTCCTCTGTGTGTTGGCATACTGATGATCTGAACACTGCAGACATTTCTCTCTATCTGGTGAGAAAAGTTTACTACCATTACTTACTTTTAATAACCTTGTTTCCTTCAAAGAATTGAGGACACTTTTTACTTAGGTGAAGTCTTTATCTTCTTATTTATTTATATATTCTTCTTTATTTGGGCTTTTTTCTTAAACATTTTTTTTGCTCAATGACACTCACATGTGTTGATAATATAACAGTTGAGGTATTGCAATATCTTATTAAAAATTTACACTTTTCTCATTCTCAAGAGTACTGCAATCATATTAACCTTTTAATTATACAGCTTACGTTACCATACATGTTTCTGTAAGACATTTATTTTACTCTGTGTTATATTATCCTTGGTTTGATTTCATTATGTTTCTCTTGCCTGCTCACCTGTTAAGTTGTTGAAACAGATTGATCACTCTTGGACACTCTATAGTCATGCTCACTTCTTAAAATTTATTCTAGTTTACTGAGCCCTTGCCCCTTGTCAAGAAGAGTGGTTTGCACTGAGAAATAAAGATATGTAAAATTCATGTGGGTAAAATGAAAGATTTGAGATGAACACTCTCCTTATAAGATTTATGTTAGCTGGGCGCCAGTGGCTCAGGCCTATAATCCTAGCTACTCAGGAGGCTGAGATCTGAGGATCTCGGTTCAAAGCCAGCCCAGGCAGGAAAGTCCATGAAACTCTTATGTCCAATAAACACTCAGAAAACTAGGAGTGGTGCTGTTGCTCAAGTGGTTGAATGCTCACCTTGAGCTGAAGAGCTGAGGGACAGTGCTCTGGCCCAGAGGTCAAGCCTCACGACTGACAAAAAACAAAAAACAATAAACTCCAAAGATTTATATTTAATTTCATTTTAGAGTTTAGACTGATCCTAAGGATTAGTGGTAAGAAGGATTCCTGGAGATAACTTTGCCTGCAATATACTGTAATATTTTACTAAATATGTAATTCAAAGCCATGTTCTATCATATTTCCAGTAGAAATCCACCACTTATCAGAATTTGTTTATTAACAGAAAACAGGAGAATGTGCACTATAATCCTAATACACAGTTTTTGCATTGACTTGTTTGGATTGATGAAAACTAGGGAGAAATAAAAAAATGTTTATAACTCATGGACTCACCTGTCCCATTAGCAATCTCATTTTCTGGGCAAGGTGTACAATCAAAGCAACAGGCAGCCTTTCCCTCCTGAGGAGATTTCCTGAATCCAGGACCACAGCTCTCACTGCAGACAGAGTGAGGAGTCTGAGGAAAGGCAGGGATGTGACAGTAACTGTTCAGAACCATAGCAAACACTACAACAAACCATTCCCTTTAAATGGGATGTTTAAGCAAAATGTTTTAAGCAAGTGAGTACAGTTCAATTATTTAATTATGTTATACATTCCATATTCCATGAGTCCCAAAGGCTATGTCATTCAATCTTGATTTCTAGCCTTTTGAATTATTGGAAGGTATGTGATTTTTAAAAGGTGGAAAGTAGTGGTGAGAATGTAATTTCTAGTGTACTGCCCTATAGGATTTCCTTGAATTCATGTCAGTATATGTTGTCTCCTACTTGTCTGTTATATGGTCAAGAGCAAGGAGGAGACCTCTGCTTTCTAGTGTTATGTGAATATCTTATCTTTCTCTTCATTTTCCCATAGCCATGACATTAGAATCTTGTCACAGATGCCTTCAATGATTCCTTTAATCAAAGATATTTAAGTAACAGGTCAATTAATGATTAAATGAATCTCCACAGAAGGGAGTAAAAGAAAACTTTCAACCACATAAATTACCTCACCACATATTTTATCAGTGTTAGAATCCCACGGACACTATTCAAAATCAACATTAAGAAGCAAATTTAACACTTTTGTTTCTCATCCTGCCTCTTGAGCTTGAGGGCTAGGCATTGGAGCTGAGCTATTTTTTGCTCAAGTATAGCACTCTACTAGCCATTGCCCTACTTCCAGATTTTTGGAGTTTAATTGGTGATAAGAGTCTCACAGACTTTTCTGTGTGAGTTTACTCTAATAGTCTCATCTCAGCTCTATTAGACTCTAGCATTATAAGAGAAAGTTGCTGGAACTCAGCCAGGTACATATTTGAAGGGTGATTTTGTTGATTTGTGTGTGCTTAAAATTATTAGGATTAGATTCAACTCACCTCTGTAGTTCCGATTGCCCACTCTACCATATCTTCAGATAAAGACAGTTGATTGCCATGTGGATCATATGGCGAAAACTTTCCTACTTTCACCTCAAGTTCAAGACCCTCTGGAAAATTCCAAATGTTTAGAATATCATACTCTGGCTCCAATTTCCTTTTCTCACCCCAAATCACTTGATCTCCAGTTGGATTATAAAACTGGAAGTTCTTCAGAAAAGTGTGCAGCTAAAAGAAGACATCTTTTGGTCAGGTATATCCCAGAGTTAAGACAGAAAACTTGAAATATTAAAAGCTCCTGATTGCCTTTAACTTCTGATTCTGAATTCAGAGATTAGACACACTAGAGACACCTATGGAAAAATAAAAAAAATCTTTGTAAAAAAATAACCTTTTCTGATTACTCAGAAAATGAGTAGGAGGAGGTTTTTCAGAAAAAAATCATTCTGCTACAGCTTGCCACAACCACTCTTGTGAATATCTATAGTATGAGCATGCTAAACGTTTAATATCAAAAGTTTATTAAGCTCGGTCACTTATGAAAAGCATGAATGATTATTTTCAGCAAATCAGCTTTTGCTATGACTGAAGAAACTCATAGAGAAATAGCTGAATTTACAGTTTTCAAAACACTAGCTACAAACATATCAACTTTATTGGTAACTCATTAGTTCATAAGTCAGTGAGAATTTTGTCTCCAGTTTTGTCTCAGGAAAAGCAGGTAGTGGTGCTGTGTTCAAGTGATTGAGAAGTAGCCTTGAACACAGAATCAGAGACATAGCCCAGGCACTGTATATAAGCCCCTGCCCTGGCTAAAATTAATTTATATTAAGATGGAATGTAGGGGCTGGGAAGGTGGCTCGGTGGTAGAGCGCTTGCCTTGCATGCATGAGGCCCTGGGTTCGATTCCTCAGTACCACATCAGCAGAATAAAAGCCAGAAATATGGAATATATTTTATCTTTGCTACTGGCTGTTGTTTTCTTTACAGCATATCAACATATGTGTAGCATACTTCAAAAATATTGAAACGTGAAAAATTGCACAGGATATGAAAAGGACATGAAGTATTTTAGGGTTTAAGTGTGGATCTATATTTGTTTAATTTTGTACTTCCAATAGTTTCTGATAATAGACAGGAAAAATTTAATGTTTCATAAAATTATTTAAAATACTGAAACATATACACATTAATATCAGCAACCAAGATATGTATGTCATATGAATACGAACATACACATAGATAGATGTATGCATACACACACACACACACACACACACACACATATATAGACAGAAACACATTCATACATACAGACATATTTTATTTCATTATAAGATACCTCTCTAGAAAGTGCCTTTGCTCACAGTGTGTGTGTACTCCAACATCGAAGAAATTACCTGCACAGAGGAAGGCAGTACTCCTTTTCTATTCCCCATTGTTTGAACTTCTGTTTGATGAAGAAGCATCTCATGGAGAGCCTGGGCAACTGTATACACAGCTTTGTATATATTGTAACTATCCACAGACATAGTCATGTCAAAAGTGCATGCAGGCAACAAATCCAAAGAGGTATCATGAGCACAGTTGTCCCATGTTACACAGTCAGACTCAACATCTGAACAATTAAAAGAGAGAAACCACAGCCTTGCAAGAAAAATGTCTTCTGGGTATTTGGAAGGTTTAACTGCCTTGACAAAATCTGTGAATCCAGAAACATCTACATGATGATGTGTGAAAATAAAGGGTACATGCAATGAGCCTAGCATGAAATATCTCCTTTTCAGGGTGAAATCCCACTGTGAGTTCACGATACAAACTTTACCATGCATAAATATTTGCTCAATAAATACCATTAAAGCTATCAGGGAATCATTATCACCATATATGATGATGACATTTGCTGAAGATACATTTATCTCTTTATGAACTGCTACGAGTTTGAATATATGTGATGCGTCTTGGGTTGACATCACTAGCTCATAGGCTATACAAACTCTGTTCTTGGCCATCTCTTCTTTTAATTCAGCAAGAACCCATGAAGCATTCTCATCTTGTGAGGTCAGCAGTCCCACCCAGTTCCAGCTGAAGTGAAGCAGTAAGGAGACTATAGCAGTGGCTATTGATGTGTCCTTTGGGGCCATCTGATAGAGAGCAGGAAACTTGTTATGGTCACTCAGGGCATGATCAAAAGGCCCAAAGGTAAACTAAAGGGGAAAAGAATTGGACATGCCATGAATGAGAAGATTGCCATGCACCACAATCACAGCCTTGAATTCTGTAAAGAACTAGTTGAAATGGAAGGAAGGTTTTGTTTTAATTTTTTAAAAAATAATTTAATTGCTTTTGAATAATTGTACAATATATCAATTGACTTGTCAATTGTGTCTTGATATTTGTCACTATTTCCATCAACTTTTCCTATCTATATCAAACTCAGTCACTCCCACATGACCACTGAATATTATGTTTCCCCCCCCTATCCATTCCCTATTCTTTTGCATTTATTCCTTAACACTTACCCTGCATTTACAAGATATGCTTTGTGTTCATTTTTTACACTGTCAGTAGATCAGAAATGTTTCCCCATGGACTTGCATCCCTTTGTATACCACACTTCAATCAGATTGATGATATATATATATATATATATATATATATATATATATATGTGTGTGTGTGTGTGTGTGTGTGTGTGACTGTGCAAATCGCTAAGTGTTTTTCATATTTATTTCATAATACATGTTCATCTTTTAGATCTAACTTTCACATAAGAGATGACACATTTACACTTTCTTGTTCTGAACTTGATTTACTTCATTCAATATAATATCTCTCGTGTGTGTGTGTGTGTGTGTGTGTGTGTGTGTGTGTGTAGTAGACAGTCAGTGCAGGGCCACAAACAAGCTAGATTTACTTCATTCAACATAATATCTTTCGTGTTTGTGTGTGTGTGTGTGTGTTTGTGTGTATGTACATACTAGACAATATGGGGCACAATGCTGTACCAATGGAGTCACACATTCACCTTGTATTCTTTGCAGGTTAATTGGAGATACAAATTTCCTGATTAGGTAGGATTATTGGTGTGAGCTATCAGTACCCTGCTCAGCATATCCTTACATTGTAGAGCCCTTTTCCATTTCCTGGTTTATTAAAGAAAATTTTTGATAAGGATTGAAAAAAATAAATTATCTAATTATCTGCTCAAATCTTTCATCAGTTTTTCCAAAGTATAAGAATATATTCCCGACTAACTTTGAGTAGTTACTCCATACTACAAAATTTGATTGGTTCATAAGTAGAATCTCTTCCTATCCTTCTCTTCTAACATCTGAATGGCCACCAAATTAGATGTTTTTCTAAACTTTCACACCTTTCACCCTCACCTGTGGAAATCTGTAGAGTCCTAGCAATGTCCCAATCTGGTCAGATGTTATTCCTGATGGTCCTGTAATTACTGCTATAGACTTGCTGACTCTCACACAGGAGTAGTTTGGAATCTTATACTTCCCAAAAAGAAAAATGAAGGGATTCTTAAACATTGTCCAAGCTCTGAAGTGAACATCATAGATATCAAATCCCAAAGTTAAATTATGTAAAAGATCAGAGTTTTTGTTTATCTCCTCAATAGCAAAAGCTAAGGCCAAAACACACTGATAGTTCTTGAAGATAAACCTGCATAATGAGCAAAGAAATTGAAGAGTATTTCAAAGCTTAAGACTTTGATACATTAAATGCTTGCTTCTTTCCCCATAAATATGTTAAAATATTGCTCCAATTAGAATGGAATGTAAATGTGGTCTCTTATGCTTCCATATAGAATTAGGTACGGACACGAAGGGAATTTGTCATGAATGAGATTCAGATACTTATTTAAGTGGAGGGAGAGTTTGTTTATTTCTATTGCCACATGCATTGGTGCCTCCTCCTTTGTTTTCCCTCCCACCACCACAACTACTCCACCACACCATGCCCTGGCTAGTTGTAAGTTTCATTTTCAACATAGTGTCTAGTACATCTCATTGTTACAATGGGTCAGCCTTTATCATTATTTAAGCATCTTGTTTTTTCGCTTCCCCTCCCCAAATTAGAGAAGCGTATATACAAGATGCAGGGCACCTACATCAAATATAGTGAAAACAGTTGTTATACTATGGGAGAGGAATATAGAAAGCAACAACAAAAAAATCACATGGTACATTATAAATATGTTAGAATCAATAGCAAGAAAGAAAAAAGATATTTTTGTCCCTATCTTGTGGTTCATTTTGCTTAACATCATCTTATATGGTCATGTGTACATAGGTTTGGGCATTTTCTGCTTGTCCTACACATGTACTAGTTATTGGAAATAAGGGAAACCATGGGATCTATGTTTTTTGGGCCTGGCTTACTTCACTTAATATAATTTTTCCAAGTCTTTCCATTTCCTAACAAATGGTGCAATGCCATTTTTTCTGATGGAGGCATATATCTATCTATCTATCTATCTATATATATATATATATATACATATATATCTGTATATATATGTATATATATAATCACATTTTCTTGATTCATTCATCTACTGAGGAGCATATCTTAGCTATGGTAAATAATGCTGCAATAAACATAGTTGTGCTGGTAGCCTTAGTATGGCCTTGATTGTGATCTTTTGGTAAATGCCCAAAAGTGAGAGTGCTGGGACATAGAGGAACTCTATGTGGAGTCTTATGAGGAACCTCCATAATACTTTCCAAAGTGGTTGAACAACTTTACACTCCCACCAACAATACACGAAGGTTCCCTTCTGGCCTCATTTTCTCCAGCATCTGCTGTTATTAGAGTTCTTGAACTGGGGTGAAGTGGAATCTCCATGGTGTTTTAATTTACATTTCTTTTATGGCTAAAGAGCTTGAGCACTTCTTCATGTGTCTATTGGCCATCCTTCTTTCCTCTTCAGAGGAGTTTCTCTTTAAGTCTTTAGCCCAGTTTTTTATGGGGCAGTTGTTTCTTTGAGGATTTGTATTTGGGGGTTTAATTTCTTAAGTTCCACGTATATTTTAGATATGAGACCCTTGTTCATTGTATGGCTAGTGAAGATCTTCTCCCAATCCATGGGCTTTCTATTGATATTGCTAGCTATGTCCTTTGCCATGCAGAAGCTCTGCAGCTTCATGCAATCCCATTTGTCCAACCTTCTTCGATACGTTTTGTTTCTGGGTCTCTATCATGAAAAATTTGGACTGTGCCAAGGAGACCTAAGGTTTCTCCTACTCTATCTTGGAATGTTTTCAGAGTGTCTGCTTTGAATCTGATCCTCAAAAATCAATGGCTTTTCTGTATGTCAACAATGAGAAGAGGGTGGCTGAAATCAGACAAGCGACTCCTTTTGTAATAGCCCCTCTAAAAGTAAAATACCTTACTAAAGGAGTGAAGGACCTATATGATGATAACTTTATAAAACTGAAAAAGGAAATCAAATCAGAACATAGAAATTGGAAAAAGCTTCCATGCTCCTGGATTGGAACAATCATCATCGTGAAAATGGCAATATTTCCCAAGGCTATCTACATGTTCAATGTGATACCAATCAATATTCCAACCTCATTCTTCAATGAAATAGAAGAAGCAATCCAAAAATTCATATAGAACAATAAAAAACCTTGATGATCAAAAACAATCCTTAACAGAAAGAACAGTGCTGGAGGAAGATCAATACCAAATTTCAAGCTACTACAAAGCCACAGTAATCCAAACATCTAGGTATTGGCACAAGAACAGACCTGAGGACTAGTGGAATAGAACTGAACACCCAGAAATGAAGCCACAGACCTATAGCCATCTAAAATTTGATAAGCGTGCTAAAAAATCAAATGTAAGAAAGACAGCCTCTTCAGTAAATGGTGCTAAAAATGTGGTTAATCACTTGTAGAAAAATAAAGCTAGATCCATATATATCATCCTGCAACAGAATCAACTCTAAATGGATCAATAACTTGTTTTTCATGGCAAAGTTCAAGAAGTTTACCAATATTTGGTATAAATATAAATGAAAATGGATTATCAGAATCTATAGATATAGAAAAAGAGCAATGAAATGAAACTTTAACAACCTTTGCTGAAATCAGAGTAGAGTAGCTGTACTAAAGAACCTATGCTGCATCTCAAGCTACTAGAAAAACAAACCCAAAATTGGTGGAAGGAATGAAATAATCAAGTAGAAGAAAAAGTAGAGACTAAAACAAAATGCCAATAATCAAGAAAGCAAAAATGACATTCTACAAGAACAACAGGGTGATAAAACTGAGGTGAAAATCATTAACCTTAAAATAGATTAGCCATAAAATTCTACATATGAACCCACACCTCCCTTATTCTGCATGACAGAATCGTAGGATATAAATAGCTGTATTATTGAAAAACAATCTATAGAAGATTCAGTAAGTCTATATCAAAACTTCTATCACGTCCTTCAAAGATAAAAAGGCAAAACTTAATTTTATGAACAAGGAAGCCTTCCATTAGCCAGAGCTATTTTAAGACACAATAACTACAGGAAAGCGTCCCTGTACCAGTTCTTTACTTATAATAGGAGAAAACATTCTGATAAAAACAGACACATGGATCAAAGAAATAGAAGACTATAAAGTTATTCTAACAATAGACATGATTCTTGGTAGTTTTCAAATAACACATGGCCCAAACATGACACCGTTCACCAGCAGTGGCATTCTGATGCTGGGTGTGACTGTGTGAAACACTCAATGTAGACCATATATTTTTTAATCTCAAAATTGATTATTTCTTAATAGAAACTTGAAGTTTGCAAGTAATAGTGAAAAAGAGAGGAAATATAAATACACAGGTAACTTCAAGAAAAGTCAATAAAAGAATAGGAATATTCTCTGGGTTGATTAAATGGCAGATTCTTTGTCTCAATTACAAGGCCATATCTTCCACCCAGGCATTGGAAATGTAAAGAAACTGTGCTTGTGTCCAATTGAAAAGCTTCAGTACAATGAAAGAAATGGTGCAACAGCCAAATGAATAGTTAAAAATCTTGCTAGCTAAACATCTCAGAGAGAATGAATAATATAGTGAAAAACAGTTCTAAAAATTAAATATTAGAATAGAAAAAAATCCAATCAAGGAAAGGACATTTAAAAATTAGAAATAGAAAATCACAACAGAAAACTGATGTTCAATCATTTGGATATTCAGGACATTCATTACTTATTCATTAACATTAACAAAAATTACAGTTTGAGTAATGGTATATAAAAATGAAAGATTGGACATTTTACCAGAAATTAAATCTGTCTATACTGGTGGCTTAGACCTGCAATCCCACCTAAACAAGAAACAGACAGCTAAGGATCCTGAGTCAAAGTGAGCTGTCACAGAAAAGTCCATGGCACATTTTATGTGAGGTCAACCAATAAAAAGCTAGAAGTAGAGGTATAGTGGTAGAGTATAAGGTTTGAGATAAAAATACATGCAAGAATCCAATGTAAGCCAGTTACCAACATCTTATTCCTAGCTACCTAAGAAAAGTGAAAATGAGTAAAATAATTTAGAGACATGAGAGAGAAAAATGATTATAAACACTTACAAAATGGTTATAAAAGTCCGGGTGTAGTGGCTCATGCCTGTAATCCTAGCTACTCAGGAGGCTAAGATCTGAGGATCATGGTTCAAAGCCAGCCCAAGCAGGGAAGGCTGTGAGACCCTTATCTCCAAAAACCACTCAGAAAACTGGAAGAGGCACTATGGTTCAAGTTGTGGAGTGCTAATCTTGAGCTAAAGAGCTGAGGGACTGTGCCCAGAACCAGAGTTCAAGCCCCATGACCAACAAAAATAAAAAATACATTGTTATAAAATACGGAGTGAATAAACTCAAAGCATGTGATATACAGTGTGGAACTGCAACATGAACCAGGTATTTGGCACAAGCACCAAAGTATATCAAAATTGGCAAACATCAGCTAACATCAGTGAGAATAGATTTCAGTCAAATCTCTCACCTACTGATGTCTAATTGCACTAAACATATTACTGACATATAAAATGAAGACATGTATCTTCTATAGTACAGAAGAGAGTAATTCCTATACTGAGATCTGTGCTCTCAATTTTGGGCAGCTGCCTCTGGCTATAATTGTCATATCAGCACTTAAAAAGCAGTGCTGATGATGGAGACAATGACATTTTCTTTTGCAATAGAAATCAGATAGTTTGCTAGAATTTCTTGAAGTTCTGTTTAGTCAATTTTCTTTTTTGTCTTTTAGTATAACCACTTATTAATGAGATACAGTATTACAGATGAAGCATCAATAATATGCATGTGCACAAGTAAAGAAGAACTCATCTTGGGCACATAAAATTCCCCCAGAAGTAATCTTTCATAACAATGACCTGCCTGGTAACACCTGGGTTGTGGAGCATATCTGACATGAAACAATACCACAAGGCTTAATTTGTAAAAGTTACTGCTTGTGGACACTAAGATTCTGTATGTATGCAACTCTGTGTGAGTGTGCATATGCACATGTGTACACTGGTTCTAGGTCATGAAATCACTGCCTGGACACTGTTCTTGTGCTTTTTGGCTCAAGGCTCACACACTGTCACTTAAGCCACAACATCATTTCCAGCATTTGGCAGGACAATTGGAGATAAAGTTCTCATAGATTTTCCTGTTTGGGCTGGCTTCAAACCTCCATCCTCAGATATCAACCCCATGAGTAGTTAGGATTACAGGCAAGAGCCACCATGAAAAATTTTATCAACATTCTCAAAATATACATGTTACTAAAAAAAGTTCTCAGACTTGTGTTATAGAGGAAAAGGAAATGAAGTGGCATCCATCTAATACAGAAATCATGCCAGTGACTCAGGATTGTAATGACATCACTACATTTTCCACAATGAAAGAAGAAATGAAAGAGATATAGGCATGCTGGAGTAAAGTGAAGAACTTTCAGTCCTGAAAAGGAGAAGGTACATGGTAGGAAATGGAGTCCTCTCCTGCAACTGGCATAAAATCTCATATCAGGACATGAAAGACAAAATAATGAAACTAGGCTGCTCTGGAGGCAATAGGGATAGAAGTCAGTATGGACAAGACAGAGATCATTGATGCAGGCACCCACAGTTCCCTCACCAGTCAAACATCCTCAGAATAAAACAGTAACGGAAGTAAAATATTGAATTACTTACATCTTGTTCTCTTCTTGCCTGGAAATATGACTGTGACTGTGATCTATTCCCAAAGTGTAGAGAGGAAAAAACCCAGCAATCATCACATCTCCATCCATGTGCGCTCGTTGCTTCATTGTAGAAAAGCAGCTAGTTCCAGCCAGGGACCTGACAGGGAGAGGAACATGGAGAAGGAGGAGTGTGAAAGCCAAAATGCACATCCCTGAATCCTCTGCCAAGCAGAAAAGCTGACAGGAAGTAAGGCCCAGAGTTTCAGTTATGTATATGTGCATATATGCCTTTTTTATTGACCAAGATCTATACTATGGTTCACCTCTAATTAAAGCCTCTAGTGAGTCCCTAGAAGTAATGTGTAAGAGTATTCCCAGGGCCTCTGCATTTGTAGCCTTGCCTCAGGATGAAAAACATGAGTTAGAAAACATGTTTGTAAATTTGCCTTCTTCACTGCAGGTGCTGTGATTTCATCCAAGACCACAGATAGTGAGGAGGCCCCAGAGACGGAATTATCTTGGTTGTAGTTTGTCCTAAGTCTGTGTCAAGAAACTATTTGCATGAAAGTCGTTTGGGATGAGGCAACTGGATTGCATGAGATGATGCCATGTCATGTGAATGGTGAAATGGCCAGAAAAGGCTATGCCTCTGAATTGTCAACTAAAATTATGAGGGCATTGTACTTAGAGGTTGGATTCACACATAACATATTCAGGCAAACATGCTCTCAATTGCAAAGAAATGATATGTCATAGTTTCAATGTCATAAAGACGCCAGCAGAAGGCTTTATACCAACCTAAACTGCTGAAGAAAGACACCACTGTACTTAACTGTCTGCCACAGCCTCTACAGATGTCTTAAGAAAATTCAACATAAGGCATCAAAGATTTATGTCAAACTTGAAAACCAGTCAGATGTAGTAGAAAGAATTAGAGAAGATAATAGAACAGGAAGCACATCCCATTTCAATGATGAGTTCGAATATTGTTGAAATGCCCGATTCAAAAAGAAACTCACAGATTCATTTCCTTTCAAAATTCCAATGTTGACCTTCACAAAATAAAAAAATAATCTCTTTAAATTTGTGTGGATGGGCTGGGACGGTGGCTCAGTGGTAGAGCGCTTGCCTTGCATGCATGAGTCCCTGGGTTCAATTCCCCAACACCACATAAGCAAAAAGAAAAAAGTGAGAAGTGGCCCTGTGGCTCAAGTGGTAGAGCGCTAGCCTTGAGCTGAAGAACCGAGGGATAGCGCCCAGGCCCAGAGTTCAGGCCCCATGACTGGACCCAAAAACAAAAAAAATTGTGTGGATTCTCACAATAAAAGAACAAAACCATGAGGAAAAAGCACAATGCTGGAAATATGGGAAACCTAATTTCAAACTGTACTGCACAACCACTGAAACAAAGTCACGTTGACACTGGTACTAAGAACATCTGGAAACCAGTAAACATAATAGATGATCCAGAACAATCCCACATAGCTTCAGTCGTGGACACAATATTGCTCTGTAACAAATTTTGTTTGTCAAACTGCATTGCCACTTGTAGCCGACTGGAAATAGTTCCCTGTCATTCCATTAATGTCCTCAACTTTAGAGATTCAAGTATGATACTATCAGTTAGATATATAAGGGAAACACTTGAAGCAACAGACACTGGTAATGATTTTCTAAGTTGTACTGCAATAGCTTAAGAAAGGAGAGAAAAACTGAAGGAATACTTCCTAGTCTTTGGCTCAGGTTTAGATTCTGGCTTCCATATCCAGCACACTAAAGAACTGATCCAGGCCAGGAGGCTCATGATTGTAGTGCAAGGTGCTCATATGACTAAGATTGGGATCACAGTTCACAGACACAGTTCACAGGCACAATTTTCATTAGACCCCTCTTAATCAAAAGCTGGATATGATGCTACATGTCTTTTATTCAAGCTATTTTTGTGAGTGTTCTGAGAATGATGGCTGAGATCTGGAGGATTGTGATCCCAAGACTGTCCAGGCTAAATACAATATCCTCAGATTCTATGTAAATAGAAGAAACTGAATATTGGTTCATATGCCTGTCATTCCAGCTGTGGCAGCAAGCATCAATAGAAAGACTATAGCCCAGGAATGGGCATACAGCAAAAGCAAGATCCTATCACAAAAATACTCAATGCAAAGAGGGGCTGGAGATATGGCTCATACTACAGTACCTGCCTATTATGGTCCTCAAGAAAGCATTGGCAAGTGGGTGTATATCAGAATGAAATAATCCACACAGTCCACAAAGAAGAGTCTTTACGTTTTCATAATATACATGCTTCCCATCTTTGGTTAATTCCAAAGCATTTTATTTTTGTGAGGCTATTACAAACAGAACTGCTTTTCTGATTTCAGTATCACTCACCTCATTGTTGGCACACAGGAATGCTACTGTCTTTTGTGGGTTGATTTTATGCCCTGTTACTTTGCCAGAGTTTTGAATCAACTCAGTAGGAATCCTGGGGAATCTCCAGGATTCTTTAAATACGGGATCATAACATCTGCAAATATGAATAGCTTTATTTCTTCTTCTATTTTGATTCCCTTTATGTGCTTCTCCTACCTTATTGCTCTTGCTAAGAATCCCAGCCTTTCCTTGAAGAAGAGTGGATAGAGTGAGCATCCATGTTTTGTTCACAAGTTTATAAGGAACGGGTTTAACTTTTCCACATTAAGTATCCTTCTGGATCTAGGTTTGTCATATACAGCCTTTATCATCTTGAGGATTGTTCCCTGGATTCCTAGCTTCTGTAGAGCTTTTATCATAAATGGGTATTGCATCTTGCCAAATGTTTTCTCTGCATCTTTGACATGATCATGTGGTTCTTGTACTTGTTTAGGTTAGCTTATGTGTTTGTTTTACAAACAACAAATCATCCTTTATAAACACCTATATCAAATCATCATATATGTAGACCCAGAATATTTACCTTGGAGATTTTTATTCTCAGAAGACTGAGGAAGAGAAAGATGATAAGAGCAGATTCTCACCTCATTGTGTCAGAAATCAGGGCTGTTCGGCACTGCAATTTCCATAGAAATGGCCTGACTTAGGATCCTTTAGAGGAAGATCCACAGTTGCCAGATACAACTTGATTCTAGTTGTTACTGGAGTTAAATGCAGCTGTTCCCATCAGAGATGCTGGGATGGAGAACATAATGGGGGATGTAATAATTTTTAGAAATTTCCTGTGTAGAGCAGGTCCTGGTGTTATTTTCCCAGGCACCTCCCTGGCTGCATTTGTTCCCAGGGGTGTTGCTGACCACACATGGGAGATTTAGGGTGAATTGGGTTCTTTGCTGGCTCTAGGACAGGTCCTGGTGTTCTTTCCCCAGATGCTTCCCTGGCTATGTGCCTTGTTGCTGTCAGCCAGCAGGAGTTTTGAGTTGGGAGCTGTAGTTTGCTAACAGAGGGGCAGAGATGTATTCCAGCGGACTTTCCTCTATAGCTGCAGAAGGGGTGGGAAAAGAATTTGTATGTTTTTTTTTTCAAATATGTTCCCCTCCTCTTCAGCTAGCAGAGGGATTCTGTCAGGACACTTTGGGTCACCAAATGAAGCTGGTGTTCTAAGACCAGGGTCCCTCAATGTGGCCAGTATGGGACAGCGAAGTCTTGGTGAGGGACTTCTGTGTTCTCATGTGGCAGTGTCTAACACCTTTTCTTGATTTACTCCCTACTATCCTACATCTCCTCCACCCCACCCCCACTGTGTGGTGTCTCTCTCCTCCTTTTAGTCTCTCTGAATAGTCTTGGGGTAAAATAGGACCTAGAATCCAGTAGTTCAGCGGGGGTGTGCATGCTGCCTTGCTGTTTTCTGCTTTGGCATTATTGTGGTGGGATATCTTCTATCTTAGAATGACTGTCCATTTAAACTTTGATTGGTATGGATCTCATAAGGTGGAGTGTGTGCTGGAATCCTAAATCTCTATTTGGTCAGAGATAGCTTGGTAATTTACCTGTTACCATACCACCTTCCTAGAAGTATCAGGCCCATTTTTGACATGCATCAGTAAAGTGTTGACCTAATATTTTTCTAATTTGTTGATGCAAATAATAATGGATATGGACTGTTCTCTGAGCACTCCCTTTGTTGTATCCCCATTGAGTTGTTATTTCATGTCTTCATTTGCATTGAATCCTAGAACTTAAGAAATTTCCTTTCTTATTTCTTTGAAGACCTCCTGATTACTCAGTTTGAATTGTTCACTTTCCATGATTTTTAGCATTTTCTATGATGGGTTTTGATGTTTCTATACTTGTTGAGTATCCTTCCTTGTATCTTTTTCTTGATTATTAATGGTTTTGTCTATATTTTACACTTTATTGTCAGGATGCTGTACAGAAGGGTTACAGTTATATAAAAAAAGATAGTGATCACATTTCTTGTTTAACTTGTAACCCCCTCTCTCATTTATCTCCCTCCCTCCTTGATGCCTCCAAGCTCCCCACAATTTGTACAGATCCTATCCTACATATTGTCTTGTGAGTATTGCTGTTGCATTGGTTTCCCCTTTGTCCTTTGTCTCACTATTTTGTTGTTCGCCTTCCCTTCTCTAGTTTAGATAAATGTATATACAATACTCAGGATACCAAAATAGAATTCAGTGACAACAGGAAATAAACCAAAGGAGGAATAAACAAAAGAAAAATGGAAATCATGTAGTACATAGACTCAAAATTTACTTTGATATTTCTTGTAGGAAAGGCATGGTGGAGATACATTCTCTTCATTGAGCTTGTCTGGGAACGTATTTATACCTTTTACATTACTAAGGGATATCTTTGTAATACAATAATCCTAGTGGATAATTTAGATATTTTTATCTTCAGTACTGTAAAAGTCTCATGGAATGTTCTCCTGATTCCTATGAATTCTACAGAGGAGTCAGCAGTTAGGAAAACAGGGGTCCAACTGTAAGGTATGGGTACAATTTCAGTTTTAGACTAAAGAATCTTTCATTTATATGTACTTCACTTGTGAGAGCTTGTTCATAAGACTGTAGATGTTATGGTCAAAACTTTGATTATACTTCCGTTGTTAGGTATCTTCCATTGTGTCCTTGTTTACATAGGGAATTTTAAATTCTTTCACATGCATTTAGAACATGCATTTAAAATTTTTGGCATTCCCAAACATCTACTGAATCCCAAAAACTGTAATACTTACTTTTTGGAAAATATTCTTGTCAAATTTTGACAAATATTTTTCACACATCTTCATTATAACAGAGTTTAAACCTCTATAGAAATATGTTCAATCAACTTTTCTTCAAGCTCACTTTTCTGTTCTGTTTTGAAGTCTTCACTAACACGATAGGCTTTCACATATACCCACACTCAATGTTGAGTCATCCATTTTATATTTCCATCCTGCCTTCATTATTTCCAATTTAAAACAATGCCTGTTGTTTTCATTATATTAATTTCTTTAGAATATGTACAGGCACAAACAGACCCTTGCACACAGACAGAACAGAGAGAAAGAAACAAAAAATTCTTTGACCCTCTTTATTCTTCTCTTCATTTCTTTTCAGTATTACAATCTGAATATACTGGGAAGAAAGTTGTGATCATAGCATTGAACCGTTATGGACTTGGAATTGGGATTTCTATATAAAGCTTGCTTACAATTCTCTCTTCATCACCTATGTTGGAGGTTCCTCTCTCTATAGGAGTTACTTGTAGTTGGATACATCCTTTTTGTTTTGTTATATAAATAATAATAAAACTCCCTCACCTCATATTTGAGTTCTTTTTCTGGTTCATATTGCTGGAAGAACTGTTCAATATTTTGAGTCTGTTAGCACACCCTGCCATAGGTTCTTTCATAAAAGTACCCTTAGCAGGCTAGGAAGCTGGCTCAGTGTTAGAGTGTTTGCCTTGCATGAATATGGCCCTGGGTTCAATTCCTCAGCACTGAATAAAAAGAAAAGACCAGAAGTGCTTCTCTGGCTCAAGTGGAGTGTGCTAACCTTGAGCTAAGAACTGAGGGACAGTAGCCAGGCCGGGAATTCAAGCCCCACATTTGGCAAAAACAACCCTGTGCTTCTGAAAGTTGCTCTGAAATTGTTTATTCATTATACTGCACTGTCACATAAGTACATAATATAAATGTAGTTACTCAAAACACAAGATTTATTTTTCACACAGGTGGACCTAATTGCCCTAAGATAAAGGCAACAAAATATTTGCAGTCTCACCAAAACCTAATCCAACAGACAACATGTTTTTGCTGGGGTTCATGTGATAATGGGGGGAAGGGAAGTGAGCTCTTTCTCATGGCTTAAAAATACATTTCTCAATATCATTCATGGAAAAATTACCTTCATATCCTTACCTAATTCTGTATACATCCATAAGACGTTACATTTGCATTCCATCCCAACTGGGGATAGTGCTTTAATATATTCATTGGCAAGAAGCAAGTATTCAAACCATCAAAGTTATGTTTGGAAAAAATGACTCAATTTCTATGCTCATTATGCAGGATCTTAAAGGATTATCAGCTTGTTTTGGCCTTGGCTTTTGCTATTGAGCAGATCAACAAAAACCCTTCTCTTTTACACAACTTGACTCTGGGATTTGATATCTATGATGTTCAATTCAGAGGTTGGCCTTTGTTTCTGAATCCCTTCATTTGGCTCTTTGGGAAGTACGAGAGTCCAAACTACTCCTGTATGAGAGACAGAAGGTCTATAGCAGTACTTACAGGACCATCAGCAATAATATCTGACCAGATTGGGACATTGCTGGGAATTTACAGATATCCACAGGTGAGGGTAGGAAGTGAAGGAGATAAAAAATGCCTAATTTGGAGCCATTTCAGGTGTTACCAGAAAATGATAGGAAGAGACTGGACTTATAAAGCTATCAAATTTTGTGGTATCAAAGAGTAAGTACTCAATGAAGGGGAAATCTATCTATCTCTCTAAATATCTATATATGTATATTCATTGTTTGGAAAATAAAATAGAAGAGTTTGAACAGACAAATGGATAATTTGTTGTTTTAAGTTTTTTTATTGTGAAAATACTGTACAGATGGGTGACAATTACATGGGCAAGATAATGAGTACATTTCTTATCAAGCATTGTAGCCTCCTCCTTTGTTTCCCCTTCCCCTCCCTTCCCATCCTCCCCCCACCACCACCCCCAGCCCCGCACCAAAGTTGTAAAGTTCATTTTCAACATAACGACTTCTACATCTCATTGTTGCAATGGGTCCACCTGTATCCCTATTTAAACCATTTGTTTTTCCCCTTCCCCTCCACTGAGTCAAGCAGAAAATGTCAGATAAGGTGATGTTAGGGAAATGAACCCTAAGATATGTATTCAAATTTTTTTTTCTTTCATGCAATTGTTTCTAACACATTTATAAGATTATTTCTTTGTTGCTTTGTATGTCCCTCGCCCACAGTATAACCCCTACTTTCACTGTATTTGATGTTGTTTTAAGTTTATTAGTAATTTTCTTTAATAAATCAGAATCTGGATTATGAGTTTGCAGTGTGAAGAAATATTGAGCAGGGTATTGATGGCTCACACTTGTAATCTTAGCAACTCAGGAAACATGTATCTCCAATTCACTAGGAAATAGAACAAAATGAATGAATCAAGAAATACAGCCCAAGTCTTGAGGGTAAAAGTAAAATAAATGCAAGAGGCCATTAGTTGGTGACCCTTAACTGGCATGTGCATACACACACACACATGCAAGCTATCATGTTGAAAGAAGTATGTCTGGCTCACAATGAGAAGGGGTCAATGCGTTCTCTCACCTGTGATAATTAGATCTCAAATACGAATATATAATATGAAATAAATAAGAACACA